CACACAGAGGGCCCGCAGCACGGACATCACACAGAGGGCCCGCAGCACGGACATCACACAGAGGGCCCGCAGCACGGACAGCACACAGAGGGCCCGCAGCACGGACATCACACAGAGGGCCCGCAGCACGGACATCACACAGAGGGCCCGCAGCACGGACATCACACAGAGGGCCCGCAGCACGGACATCACACAGAGGGCCCGCAGCACGGACATCACACAGAGGGCCCGCAGCACGGACATCACACAGAGGGCCCGCAGCACGGACAGCACACAGAGGGCCCGCAGCACAGACAGAGCTGAACCTCCACCTGAGTGTGCTGTGACATCCTCAGGGTGGCTCCATGAATCCGCTCACTTGGCTCCGCATACATGTTTATTCCTGAGCTCCCGCTATCCCCTGAGCGGGCCCCGGGACCGGCAGGATTGGAGTGAGATCAGCACACTGTATGCCATTTCTCGGGCTGGGAAAGCAGATCTCTCCTCCATCAGCTTCTCTGGGGGCCCCCAGGTGACATGAGAGGTCTTATAGACTCCTGATGTCTCCATAAAGAGGACCTGTGCCTGTTAGCACCCTATGTGATGGCAATAAAATTAAGTGTAAAAAAAAAGAAGACAATGTAAAAATTAGTCACACCATTGGGTGCACCGCATGTTACATATCGCGGAGAACGTCGGAATGAGAGCGATAATTCATCATTCACGTTATAAACATTGATCAGAAGGAGATTGAGAGATACAAAGTAACATTGTTTATAAACATTGATCAGAGGGAGATAGAGAGATACAAAGTAACATTGTATATAAACATTGATCAGAGGGAGATAGAGAGATACAAAGTAACATTGTATATAAACATTGATCAGAGGGAGATAGAGAGATACAAAGTAACATTGTTTATAAACATTGATCAGAGGGAGATGGAGAGATACAAAGTAACATTGTATATAAACATTGATCAGAGGGGAGATAGAGATACAAAGTAACATTGTTTATAAACATTGTTCATAGGGGAGATAGAGATGTTTAAATAAAGTTGGTTCATTAACTCTTTCTTCATTTCTATTTTCTATACATTAATATCAAATCTTTTTCCGTTATTATTATTGTTCATTACTGTTGTTTTCGTTTTGCTCGGGTTAAAAATAAAATGCGTAACATTAAACAATCCTTTATTTCTTCTTGTAAATGACTTTGCAATGCTTTGTTCCAGAATCATAATTTTGTTGTCTTTTTGGGACAAATTACAGAACAAAACGTATTCTTTTATCTCTATGAACAATCGGGGGTTTTACACTAATAATGATGAAAGGAAATAAAATGATTTTTAGAAGATCTCATCCTCCGAAATCCTTGTGTGTCCTGAACAAAGATCCGTGAATGACTTTCCCGTGCGAGGGAATGAGCGGTGAATGATCCGCCTCTCAGGGGAATGTCGGAATGGCTCTTCTCCCGGGATCTCGGACTGATATCTGCTGTGTGTGGGGCGGCTGAGGGTCTTCCCAGATGTTGTTTGGCTCAGGCGGCGGGCGGGATTGGTGGATGGGATTTGGATGGAGTATTATACGGAAGGCGTGTCTATATATAGGAAGTTCTGACATACATGGATCTTATATTACAGGACGGCTGTGTGTAGCCCGATCCAGAGCTGCCGGAACCGTCATTGTCCATGATCTCCCCCGACCCTCGGGACTCCTCTGTGCTGGTCGGAGCCATTCATGTGCTGTGGCTTTGAGGGACAGCTGGACTCCAGGTCAGGGATCTGCGAGCCCCAGACCATCCCATGCACACAATGTGACCCCGGACCATCCCATGCACACACTGTGACCCCGGACCATCCCATGCACACACTGTGACCCCGGACCATCCCATGCACACACTGTGACCCCGGACCATCCAATGCACACACTGTGACCCCGGACCATCCCATGCACACACTGTGACCCCGGACCATCCCATGCACACACTGTGACCCCAGACCATCCCATGCACACACTGTGACCCCGGACCAAAAAAGTGTAAAATAGTTTTAAAACGTAAAAAAGTCAACGTTTGCAGGTTGCTCCGCCTCTTCCCCTCCTGCACCTCCCAGTGGTCCAGAGAGCAGCTCCATGCTTCTCGGCATTTGACTTTGAGCCCAGTCTGTGTGATGACGTCCCTCAGGGGGCGGGTCCATGACACCCAGGCCTCACAGCAAGTGGTTGAATGATGCTGGGAGTCGTTCAGTCCAGAGGCATGAAATATAACATTCCCAACATCGCTGAATGACTTCTATGTTCACAGACAGCATGACGCCACACAATCCATCCTCCGAAGACTTTCCCTAGACCTCCAGTAACTGGTCCATCCCTCCACAGACTCTCCCCAGACCTCCAGTATAGGCTCCATCCCTCCACAGACTCTCCCTAGACCTCCTGTAAAGGCTCCATCCCTCCACAGACTCTCCCTAGACCTCCAGTAAAGGCTCCATCCCTCCACAGACTCTCCCTAGACCTCCAGTAAAGGCTCCATCCCTCCACAGACTCTCCCTAGACCTCCAGTAAAGGCTCCATCCCTCCACAGGCTCTCCTCAGACCTCCAGTAAAGGCTTCATCCCTCCACAGGCTCTCCCTAGACCTCCAGTAAAGGCTCCATCCCTCCACAGACTCTCCCTAGACCTCCAGTAAAGGCTCCATCCCTCCACAGGCTCTCCTCAGACCTCCAGTAAAGGCTCCATCCCTCCACAGGCTCTCCTCAGACCTCCAGTAAACGCTCCATCCCTCCACAGGCTCTCCTCAGACCTCCAGTAAAGGCTCCATCCCTCCACGGACTCTCCCTAGACCTCCAGTATAGGCTCCATCCCTCCACAGACTCTCCCTAGACCTCCAGTATAGGCTCCATCCCTCCACAGACTCTCCCCAGACCTCCAGTATAGGCTCCATCCCTCCGCAGACTCTCCCCAGACCTTCAGTAAAGGCTCCATCCCTCCACAGGCTCTCCTCAGACCTGAGGATATGTATATATGTATATTTCACACTTTAACACCTAAAACTGATGAATGATGTGGGTAACGTGCGTGGCCAATGTACACTTTGCTGATCTACATGCGTCTACTGTTGTGCGTGCTGAAACATTTGCTTCTCCCTCCCTCAGAGAGGTAAAATAAGACAAATTAATTTCCCTCTTCACTCTGCCGATAGACTGACCTCCTTGTGCGGTGCGTCCCTCGTGATGTCATGTGACCTGTAACACTGAATGTCACCCGCCCCGCCATGACATCATCTCCACTTCAATCTGCTCTCTAATCCCAGCGCGGTCAGGACGGAGAATCTCATTAATTAGGAGGTTGGGGGGGGGAGGGGTCATTAGTTTAACCATTTCATTTCCGGTCTTCTGGGAAATGTTCATTGGCTGACCTTCAGTGTAATGCACCATAGAGAACAGCTGGTGGTGGTCACCTGTGCCCCCCAAAAATACTCCTTCCTCACGGTTATACACCATAGAGTCGCCTGGACACCGCGATCATCATCATCATTGTAGATGTCTAGTGACCACTCTCTGTGGAATATGTGTGTATATAATCTGCTTACAAGAGGGGTCCCAAACTTTTTATTTTTAAACAAAGGGCGAGTCCATCTGGGTTGTATGCGTGGGACACCCCCCACCCCCTCCCTGCCCTCTCCCCCAACACACACACACACAGTTTGACACATATCTAGGAAGAGTCTCCAGAGGGATATAGAACCTTTACTGGACAGATGGAGCCATTACTGAAGCTCTTGGGAGGGTCTCCAGAGGGATGGAGCCTTCTCCGGGGTCTAGGAACAGTCTATGGAGGGATGGATCCCTGACCTAGGACTTAGGTAGAGTCTCCAGAGCATATGGAACCTTCTCCGGGAGTTTAGGAAGAGTCTGTGGAGGGATGGAGACTTTACCAGGGGTCTAGCTGGGGTCTTCAGAGGGGATGGAGCTTTCTCTGGGGGGTCAAGGAAGAGTCTTCAGAGTAATGGAGCATTTAGTGGGATCTAAGAATAGTCTTTGGAGGGATGGAGCCTTCACCGAGGGTCTTGAAGAGTCTGCTGGGAGATGGAGCCTTTACGGGGGATCTCAGAAGGCTCTCCAGAGGGGATGGAGCTTTCTCTCCGGGGGTCTTGAAGAGTCTGCTGGGAGATGGAGCCTTTACGGGGGATCTAGCTGAGGTCTTCAGAGGGGATGGGGCCATTACGGGGGATCTCAGAAGAGTCTCCAGAGGGATGGACTCTTCTCCAGGGTTCTATGAAGAGTCTCCGGAGGGATGGATCCTTGACCTAGGACTTAGGAAGAGTCTCCAGAGGGATGGAGTCTTTACTTTGAGTGTTGCAGCCATTAAGAATAACAAATGCTCTGGTGTCAGTTGGAGCTCCATCACCTGTTGCCTCTCTGCAATCAGTGGCCCCTGGCAGGGGTTGGTGTGTGGCAGCCAGCGGGCTGTAATCACTGTAATTTGGGGGCCACTAGCCTAGAACAATATTTTCTGATGGTCAGGGCTGACACCATAATTACCCGTTGGGACAATATCTTTCTTATATTGGTTTCTGGGTCTCATGATGGAGTCTGGCAGGGAACAGTAGTCTGTGGTGTTTGTAGCAGCCAATCAAAGGCTTCCTTCCCTTTCTATGATCCCCTGAAATGGGAGAATCTGGTTGGCTGGTGTGGACCCCACAGACAGTTCCAGGCCCATGAAATGTCTAATGTTCCCTCACCCTGTGGTGGTTCTTCCTTGCAGGCGTGCCTGAGGGCCATCGATGTTCAGATCCTGCAGCAGCTTCTGGTGGTGAACGAAGGGATGGAGTCGGTGAGGTGGATCCTGGAGGAGCGGGGGAACCTGACCAGCCGCTGCAGCAGTCTAACCAGCAGCCAGTACAGCCTGGCCGGGAGCCGGGAGACGTCTCGCCGCGGCAGCTGGAACAGCCTCCAGGACCCCAACGATAAGCTGGACACTATCTCCATCGGCAGCTACCTGGACACGCTGGCCGATGACCTGGACGAATACAGCCTGAGCATCAGTGAGCCGCTGGTGTGCTCCACCCCCTACCGCCATGGCCTGCCGCTGACTACCGGCGACCAGGGCGGCGACAAACGGAGAGACTCTCTTCCCGAGCCGGGGGACCATGTGACCGGCCAAGTCACTGCAGAGAAGGCGCCCAGGCCGCATGTCCTCCCGCAAAGCCCCCCGTCTCTGCCAACGGCAAACGGGTCTGCAAAGCGCACTCCGGAGCCGGACGCCAGACCCACCGAGGACAAGGCCAAAGCCAGGCAGAACGGCCGGGTGGACAAATACAAAGTGTCCGGCAAGATCCAGCTGGAGTACGACGCGCACTGGCGCTGGGTGCAGTCTCAGGACGACGTGACGTTCTTGTAGTGCGCTCACTTCCTGTTCTCAGGACGACGTGACGTTCTTGTAGTGCGCTCACCGCTCTCTTCCAGTTCTCAGGACGAGGTGACGTTCTTGTAGTCCGCTCACTTCCTGTTCTCAGGACGATGTGACGTTCTTGTAGTCCGCTCACTTCCTGTTCTCAGGACGAGGTGACGTTCTTGTAGTGCGCTCACTTCCTGTTCTCAGGTCGGAACGTTCCGGATTTTCCATGAAAGCCGATTACTTGAATGGCTGGAGACGCGCAGGAAGTCAGGAGCAGAACTTCCTGTCCGGCCTCCCGGGATCTGTAACCACGGTGAATTGTGTCCGCGTGTATAGAGGGACGACGTTCCCTGCGCTGTGATTGGTCAGGAATCACCGAAACATTTGTGTCATTTTTCTGAGATTTCACTTTTTAATATATTTCCGTTTATTGAACTTCCGGAAAACGACGAATATAATTTATAGATATCCAGGTGACTGGTCTGGCCCCACCCACAATAATGCAACAGCCAATAGGAACTCTGCTGCTGCTGAATGGAAGAGAGGAAGGACTCAATATTAAAGTCACTTTTATGGATGAATTACATTCCCTCCTCAGGCATTTGTTTACGTCTGTGACCCCATTGAAGGGGAATTTCTCTCACTTCCTGTCCTTGTGACACATGTACGAGTATTGGGGGGTGAAGTTGTCACTGGGGCAGGAAGAGACATACAGCAATAATAACATTGTAATAAGACCCAACCCTTCCCATCCCCCTTCTACGAAGAATGTCCCCATTGGAGAGATTTTTAATCACTTCCTGTCAGGAAGTGGGGGGATTTCACTTCTACAACCCAATAAAATGACTAACAGCCAACCAATCGGATTGTGTCCTCTTCCTCCTCATCTTCCTCCTTATCATCCTCCTCCTCATCACCATCATCCTCTTACACCACCTCCTCAACATCTTCATCCTCCTCCTCCATCCTCCTCCTCATCATACTCCTCCCCTTCCTCATCATACTCCTCCCCTTTCTCCTCATCCTCCTTGTCATCCTCCTCATGTTCAGCAGCCTCCTCAACATCTTCATCCTCCTCCTCCACTTCCTCCTCATCATCATCCTCCTCCTTATCATACTCCTCCCATTCCTCATCATCATCTTCCTCCTTATCATCCTCCTCCTCATCATACTCCTCCCCTTTCTCCTCATACTCCTCCCCTTCCTCATCATACTCCTCCCCTTTCTCCTCATACTCCTCCCCCTCCTTGTCATCCTCCTCATGATTATCGTCATTATAATAATAATAATAGGTCACAGACAGGAAGTGTCACATTGTGGGCGGAGTACCATGGGTCGTCGGCCATTGACGTGTCTCCATCCTCCGGCTCTTCCATGACTGAATTCTGAATCTCAGCTCTGGGTGGAGAGAGACCTCCGTAACCTCTGGCTGGGACTTGTAGTTCTCCCGCCATGGCGCGGATGATGATTGGACGGAGAGGACACGCGGTCTTTGATGAAAAACTTTATTCTCTACGGCTGAGAGCGGCTCCTGGACGAGAGTGATGTCACAGCTCCGCCCCCTGCAATGTCTCCTACTTCCTGTATTCCCATACCTTCTGGAGCTCCTCCCCCTGTGCTCCTCAGATCCCGGACTGGTCTGTCCCCGCCTTCTTTCCAGGGGACGCCCTCCCCCGCTGGCTGCTCTTTTCACTCAGTACATTCGATCTTATTGGAGCTCCGCCCCCCGTAGTCTGCGCATGATTCTAACACTGAGCGTCGCTATGTAGAGCTGTAATAAACATCCTCCATGTGTCTCCCGCTGTCGCCTTTCTTTCCATGGAAGAGTCAGGACAGGAATATGGGAGGAGTCATCCTAATCCTGTCTTCCCACTGGGGCCCTAGAACAAGCAATATGGGAATAGAGACCTTTCCAGGCTTCACTGGCTGCATGCTTATTCCCAGGGTGGGGGTTGTTCATATGAGATGGTGGACGCGACATGTCCCAGGTTCTCAGTCTCTTCCTCGGCCGGGAGTCACGTCCTCCATGATGGGATATGTTCTGGGAGCTCTAAACAAACGTGTATAGCGTGTTGTCATGTATGTAGGCGGGGCGGCGGACATATTTCCTCATTACATATGCAGATTCAGCTTCCTTCTTCGTAGTGATTGTGCTTCATCATCATCATCATCACAGATCTCAACCGTCCAATCCAGATATATATATACAGGTGTTCCAGCCCCGGCCCCCCCTCCCCCAACACTGAGCACCCCTGCCCGGCCCGTGGCCTGATCCTCGGGGGTGGGGGGGAGAGGCTCCGTATCTGTAATGTGTCACTAAGATGAAAGATAAGGGGCTGTACATGTGGCTTATCCTGTAACTGATGTTACCTCAGCAGTCAGTCATTGCAGCTGTACAATGACATCATCATGTGACTGTAGATGAGACCCGGCAGACAGGGCCGGATTTACTATCCCTGCCTCCCCAAGGCCAGGTTCTGCTATGCCCCCTCCCCCCATCAACGGAGAATGGCAACCGGATGGCAGGGTTAGTTTTATTTATTTTTATTGTTTCTTTCTTTTTTATCACTTTTTTAATTTTATTTTTTTGAACTTTTTTGACATTTTTTTTAAAATCTTATTATTGTTTATTTTTTATAGTTATTTTCTTCTTTTTTTAATAATTTTTTTCTTATTATGTTTTACTTTTTAATCACCTTTTTATTTCTTTTTATTTAATTATGGGGTTTTTTTTTCCACTTAACTTTATTGCTGTCACACAGGAGCTAACAATCCCCCTGTGTGATAGGATTAGGAGGTGACAGGTTCTCTTTATTGACCCCGTCACCTCCAATACAGGGGTTCTAGCACAGCACTCCCCTCTCACTGTGTACACGGAGCGGCAGGGTTACTTATAACCTCCGCCGCTCTGCTC